GGCCATTTAGGCATTTTCTAACTAACCTCTCACACTTACTATCAAACCATCTCACACTCACTATCAAACTGTCTCACACTCACCATCAAACCTCTCACACTCACTATCAAACTGTCTCACACTCACCATCAAACCTCTCACACTCACCATCAAACCTCTCACACTCACTATCAAACCCTCTCACACTCATTATCAAAATCTATCACACTTGCCATCAAACCCTCTCACACTCACTATCAAACTCTCTCACACTCACTATCAAACTCTCTCACACTCACTATCAAACTCTTTCATACTCACTATCAAACCCTCTCAAACTCATTATCAAACTCTCCCAAACTTACTATCAAACTCTCTCACACTCACTATCAAACCCTCTCACACTCACTATCAAACTCACCATGACACACACTATCAAACTCTCTCACACTCACTATCAAACCCTCTCAAAGTCATTATCAAACTCTCCCAAACTCACTATCAAACCCTCTCAAACCTACTATCAAACTCTCCCAAACTCACTATCAAACCCTCTCAAACCTACTATCAAACTCTCCCAAACTCACTATCAAACCCTCTCACACTCACCATCAAACTCTTTTACACTCACCATCAAACTCTCACACTCACTATCAAATCCTCTCACACTCATTATCAAACTCTCTCACACTCGCCATCAAACCCTCTCACACTCACCATCAAACCTTCTCACACTCACCATCATACCCCTCACACTCACCATTAAAGCTCTTACACTCGCCATCAAACCCTCTCACACTCACTATCAAACTGTCTCACACTCACTATCAAATTCTCTCACACACACTATCAAACTCTCACACACTCACTATCAAACTCTCACACTCACTATTAAACTCACTCACTATCAAACTCTAAGGCGTTCTTGATAGTGAGTGTGAGAGAACTTAATAGAGTGTATAAAAGAACTTGATGGTTGTGTTTTCTGATTGGCCTAGAGAGTTATCATTTAAATTAGCAGTTTCTGATTCGCTCATAGTCAAATATGCCCGTCCCCCACGTGCGGTAGCTCACTCTTAAAAACAGATGGTTCTTCAAAGGTCCTTTAGTAAAGACGGTGGGTTTATATAGAACCAGGAACACAAAAAGAACCATTTGCATGATTAAAGAGCTCTTTGCATGGTTGTGCAGAATCCTGACTCCCCTTCGCGTGCACGCGCCTCTCGCAGGCATACGAACACTTCAGATTATACTCGCGATTCGGTTGTTTCTGTGTGTAAATAACGGTTAATCCTCACTTCTCTTTCACAACAAACAGCACATCAGGACCTAAAGCCGAACTCAGAGTCCCGCAGTGAGAGTTTAGTTTAATGTACTGAAAGCGCTGGTTGTTGGTGCCTCACTTGGAGATGAGTGGTGAGTGTGTTGGTGAAGAAGGAGACACGGTAGAGGCTACATAATAACACAACACACACATACATTTAAACAGAACAACAACACTAACATCATTAAACCACAACACACCACGGCGCAGCTCCGCATAACGCGCCTCCAAAGCTCCCTCCCAAAACCAGAGCCGCCCAGTGTAACATGAACAATATGAACACAGGGCAGTGAGGAGCTCACAGCTTTAATTCTTAAGTCTGGAGCTGAAACACAATCACTATAACGAAGTTCACATCTGACGACGTGACATTACAGTGAATTTTCTCATCATTATTGGGCAGCGCGACTTTCATTCCTCTTTGATTTCGCTGTTAAATGGCGGGAGTCCTGTAGGGTCTCTTTCATGTATCGCTTCAGTTTTTTTGCTGATAGAAAAATATACAAACACCTATAAAACGCAATGATGCCTCCCCAAATGCCGGACTAGACCTATCCTCTCAACACTCATGTCCTGGTTTTGTGTTCCTGGTTCTATATAGAACCACCGTCTTTACTAAAGGACCTTTGAAGAACCATCTGTTTTAAGAGTGAGCTACCGCACGTGCGGGACTTGCATATTTGACTATGAGCGACTCAGAAACTGCTAATTTAAATGATAACTCTCAAGGCCAATCAGAAAACGCGACAAACAAGTTCTCCTATACGCTCTATCAAGTTCTCTCACACTCACTATCAAGAACGCCTTAGAGTTTGATGGTGAGTGTGAGAGAGTTTGATAGTGAGTGTGAGAGGTTCGATAGTGAGTGTGAGAGGTTTGATAGTGAGTGTGAGAGACTTTGACAGTGAGTGTGAGAGAGTTTGATAGTGAGTGTGAGAGGGTTTGATAGTGAGTGTGAGAGAGTTTGATAGTGAGTGTGAGAGTTTGATAGTGAGTGTGAGAGAGTTTGATAGTGAGTGTGAGAGGGTTTGATAGTGAGTGTGAGAGAGTTTGATGGTGAGTGTGAGAGTTTGATAGTGAGTGTGAGAGAGTTTGATGGTGAGTGTGAGAGTTTGATAGTGAGTGTGAGAGAGTTTGATGGTTTGTGTGAGAGGTTTGATGGTGAGTGTGAGGTTTGATAGTGAGTGTGAGAAAGTTTGATAGTGAGTGTGAGAGAGTTTGATAGTTAGTGTGAGAGAGTTTGATAGTGAGTGTGAGGTTTGATGGTGAGTGTGAGGTTTGATGGTGAGTGTGAGGTTTGATAGTGAGTGTGAGAGAGTTTGATGGTTTGTGTGAGAGGTTTGATGGTGAGTGTGAGGTTTGATAGTGAGTGTGAGAAAGTTTGATAGTGAGTGTGAGAGAGTTTGATAGTTAGTGTGAGAGAGTTTGATAGTGAGTGTGAGGTTTGATTGTGAGTGTGAGGTTTGATGGTGAGTGTGAGGTTTGATAGTGAGTGTGAGAGGGTTTGATAGTGAGTGTGAGAGAGTTTGATAGTGTGTGAGAGAGTTTGATAGTGTATGTGAGTTTCATGGTGAGTTTGAGGTTTGATAGTGAGTTTGAGAGAGTTTGATAGTGAGTGTGAGAGAGTTTGATAGTGTGTGAGAGTTTGATAGTGTATGTGAGTTTCATGGTGAGTTTGAGGTTTGATAGTGAGTTTGAGAGAGTTTGATAGTGAGTGTGAGAGAGTTTCATAGTTTGTGAAAGAGTTTGATAGTGTGTGTGAGAGAGTTTGATAGTGAGTGTGACAGAGTTTGATAGTGAGTGAGAGAGTTTCATGGTGAGTGTGAGAGAGTTTGATGGTGAGTGTGAGAGAGTTTGATGGTGAGTGTGAGAAGGTTTGATAGTGAGTGTGAGAGGGTTTGATAGTGTGTGAAAGAGTTTGATAGTGTATTTGAGTTTCATGGTGAGTTTGAGGTTTGATAGTGAGTTTGAGAGAGTTTGATAGTGAGAGTGAGAGAATTTGATAGTGTGTGAAAGAGTTTGATAGTGTGTGTGAGAGAGTTTGATAGTGAGTGTGAGAGGGTTTGATAGTGTGTGAGAGAGTTTGATGGTAAATGTGAGAAAGTTTGATGGTGAGTGTGAGAGGGTTTGATAGTGAGTGTGAGAGAGTTTGATGGTGAGTGTGAGAGAGTTTGATGGTGAGTGTGAGAGAGTTTGATAGTGAGTGTGAGAGGTTTGGTGTTGAGTGTGAGAGAGTTTGATGGTGAGTGTGAGAGAGTTTGATAGTGAGTGTGAGAGAGTTTGATAGTGAGTGTGAGAGAGTTTGATGATAAGTGTGAGAGGTTAGTTAGGACTTTTGCCTAAATGGTCTCTCTCTCTCTCTGTCTCTCTCTCTACATTCCACATAAACTCAAGCTAAACTTAAACTGTCTTGACACGCTAATTTCTTGATTAGTCTAGTTAGTTAGTTTGCTTTCTGTGTTTGGTAGTTAGACTAAACCTCAAATACAGCTCAGGGCAGTTGTGTTTTTTTTTTCTGCCCATGTTCTCTCTTTGAGGTAAGATTAGCTCAAACTAAATATTAGACTGTTGTGCTGCTTGTTTGTCTGTTTGTGCTTGTAAGTATTACACCCTTATCAGTAGCAGAGTGTGGAATACATTCTGTTTTGCCCCAATCCTTTTTCTCCTGCCGGTCACTCCACACTCACCAGTTCTCCCACTGTTCCTCCAATTACATCAGTCTATCTATTTAATCTGAACTATAGCCATTTAGTTGGTATGTAATGGATTATATGACATGTTTAATGTCAAAAATTGAGCTTGTGCTATTTGTAATTTTTGACTGGCATATAAATTTAGATTTGCATGACATCAGTAACTCAGTAACAAGATAAAAAAGTCACTCACCTTCAGAGACATGAAGCCCAATGAAGAGAAGATAAAAAGTCAGCAACATTCTCACTAGTAAAACAACACTGAGTTCACAGCACACTGACAGCTCCACACCCAGCACTACACTAGCCCTGTATACCACACTGAGTACACAGCTCTCTCAGCAGCTCTTCACTGGAGTCTAACCCACTCTAATGTCCGTGCAGCTCACAGGAGCTGTGTTTAAGCCAGCTAGACCGAAACTCTTCTGACTTTTAGAAAGTTTAATAGCAGCTTCTTCACATTTAGAAACCACAGACAGTGACGTGGTGGCCACTGAGTTCTGAGAACACCTACTCTTTCCTGTTTTGTCATCCTTTCTCAGTACACACAAGTGAACACAAGAAACAGCCAAATTATTAATACACACCTGTTTGTCATTCTCACATCCTTGCAGATAATAAAAAAAGAGAGAGAAGGCTAATCTGTTGCTGGATTAGCTAGTCAAGCACTATGTTCAAGCTGGTTGACCAGCATACTGGTTTCCAAAACAGAAAAAAATGTGCTGATTTTGCTGGTGACCAGCATATAAACTTCTATTCCCGCTCACCAGCAGAGCAGCATCCAATAAACATTAAGGGCAGTTTTTTTTTCTAGCAGGGATGAATTTCCCATTTTACAGCCATCAGTCTTTAACTTTTCATGTTATGTCTTAGCAAGCTTGCTTTTATGTTTGATTACCTGAAAATGAAAGCTTTAGCACCAGTTCTACCAAAAGACTCTAAAGCTACATCAATCATTACTTTGTCCAAGCACTAGCCGCCTTCTGTCTTTAAAATGACTCTGCTTACACATCTGTTTTGATGCTTTCAGGTGTGGACATTGTGATGTTCCCTTCCTTCATTCCCAACACCACTGGTTTGGTCCACACCCTGTTGTTCAGAGAACAGACTTTGCTGATGCCATTCCTATACAGCAGACCTGGGCCAACAGTCGGGCCTGCAACAAAGAATTTCAATTATTTTTAATTGTTAAGCTTCAAATTGTAAAAACCTATCGAGGATTAAAGTTTTTTCTAGCTTCTTACTCGCCTCTTAAGTCTTTTCCCTTATAGTTTCCAGTCTTGCAAGTTTTACAGGTGAGAGATTCCAGGTATGTTCCACTGGCAGTTCCTCTGCTCTATTGCAGTCCTGCAAACTGCCTGGCACTTCATGATGTATTTTCCACATGAATGTGTGTCTGTCTGTATGTATGTATATATGTTTGGGGAGATTAATATATTTACATGCATTAGAAACTGATTCATATACACACACATCTCTTCATATATGGCTATGTAGCCATTTCTCTGCAGCGTTACGTTAATTTGTTGTTGTAGTGAATAATCTTGTCTGTCAAAATGGTGATAAAGCAGTTCTTACACTTTGATGCTCAAAAGTATGAGAAATAAAGCCACGTCTGGTAGCTCTGACTTCAGGTACTTTTCTGCATCTTGTGTTGTAAACTATCAGCTCTCCTTTCTGTGGTTTTGCTATTTGTTCTCTCTGGTCTTTTTATTGTGATGAGATGTGATCTCATGAATGTGAAACATCTATGTGGTCTACGCGTCTATTTTCAGGTAGCTATAATAGTATCAGGTGTGGCTGTGGCCCAGTGACAGAGCTCATTTCACAATGAGTGGAAACCTGATGAGGCCTCAAAGACACAAATATCAGCACAAATCAACCAGAGTGCTTTACTTACTCATATATGAGTAATAAACAAATGTTTATTCAAATCTTTACTTATTTCAGTCTTTATTGTGGGTGCTTCTCGCTTTCTCATTCTCTTTCTCTCTTTGTCCTTCTTCCTCTATCACACCAGAGAGAGCTAGTTTTATGCTGTTGAAGGCTGGAGAAATCACACAGGGGAGGAGTTGCAAGAGTGAAACAGCTCAGTTTCAGGTCCTGACCTGTCTGAGCTTTTTCTCTTAGAGGTCATTTACTATTTTTTAACTGGGTCACAGGCCCACACATGCACTATGTTCACTGGGCGACAGGCTCATACATGCACTATTTCTAACTGGGCGACAGGCTCACACATGCACTATTTCTAACTGGGCGACAGGTCCACACATGCACTATGTTCGCTGGGCGACAGGCCCACACATTTACTATTTTTTAACTGGGTCACAGGCCCACACATGCAGTATGTTTGCTGGGCGACAGGCTCACACATGCACTATTTCTAACTGGGCGACAGGTCCACACATGCAGTGTTTGCTGGGCGACAGGCTCACACATGCACTATTTCTTAATGGGCGACAGGCTCACACATGCACTATTTCTTAATGGGCGACAGGCTCACACATGCACTATTTCTAAGTGGGCGACAGGTCCACACATGCACTATGTTCGCTGGGCGACAGGTCCACACATGCACTATGTTCGCTGGGCGACAGGCCCACACATGCCCCATTTTTTTTTTTTCTGGGCAACAGGACCACACATGCAGTATGTTCGCTGGGCGACAGGCTCACACATGTACTATGTTTGCTGGGCAATGGACCCACACATGCATTATATTCACTGTACGATGGACCCACACATGCACTATGTTTGCTGGGCAATGGACCCACACATGCACTATTTTTTAACTGGGCGCAGGCCCACACATGCACTATGTTTGCTGGGCAACAGGTTCACACATGCACTGTGTTCACTGGCCAACGGGCCAACACATGCATTGCGATAGCTTGGGGACAGGCTCACACATACATTGTGTTTGCTTGGGCAACAGGCCCATAAATGCATTGAGTTTGATCAGATGACAGGCCCATAGATGCATTGTATTTGCTCAGAAGATGGGCCCACACATGCACTGCAATAGCTTGGGTGACAGGCTCACACATGCATTGTCCATGGCCCATAAATGTATTGCAATATATCGTGTGAAGGTACTACATAAAAACTGGTACATAAATTTGCTTAGGGAATAAGCTTAGGTCCACATTAGCAGTGCATTCCATTAGAAATTAACATGAAAACTGTATACTTTAATTATGATGAGGACAATGTGAAAACAGCAATTGCATTAGTTTTGATACAATCAGTATTTATGCAGTTGCATTTAACATACTTAAACAGGACTGTAAGCACCACCAGTTGTTTTCAAGAAAAGATAATATACCTTAATAATTATGATATAAATTATAATTATAACAAATTTTTCACCTTCTCTTGTAGAGCTACCATTTTGGAGAGACTGTGTTTCTTTTCTTTTTTGACAGCTACAGTGTGTACAGGTGTATATACAGTATAATGCAATGTTTGAGTATATGCTCAATATCAAAACTCATGTTAACTACAGTTTGCAAATGGCACATAAATTTACTTTAAACTTTGCATGACATAAGTAACTCATCTTCAGAGTGATGAGGCACAATGAAGAAATAAGATTCTCTCTTTAAATGTTCATTTTTGTCTTAGTTTGTTTGCTTTCATTGTTGGTTACCTTGAACTTTACCACTTGTTCCTTTAAAGTCTCCAGTCCTGCAGGTTTTCCAGGAGAGCTCACAGTTAAAAGTGTGAGAACTGAAACCATGTCAGGCAGCTTTGATCGCATGTTCTTTTCTGCATATATATATTTTTTTTTAACTGTCATCTCACTATTTTGGTGTTGCTATTTGTTCTCTCTGGCCTTTTTCTATGATAATGAGATGTGATCTCATGCTTGTGAAACATCTATGTGGTCTATGTCTCTATTTTCTGGTAGCTTTAATACTATCAAGTGTAGCTGTGGCTGGAGAAAAAGGCCAAACTATGTTTACCGGAAACATGATGCACTCTTGAAAGCTCTTGTCTGTCTATACCGCACAGTGTTGTGTTTTCTCTGCACTTGCCTTCATTAATGATGTTTTATTAGAATCTTTAACAATGCTGAAAAATGCTAAAGTTTGTTGTTTTTTCCTGCTTGATAAGTTTAGATGGCACACCTTTTTTGCACATCAACTAGGAAAGTAGAATGTTCTTCATCAACTAATAAAGGATCAGAGCAGAGACATTATAAAGGAGCAGTGGAGAGTTAAAAGCTGAAAAAATGAACAGAAAAGCTTGTAATGCTCAACATGGCATTTCTTGATGGAGAAAGTCCCATCATTTAGTAAAAAGAGCCACTCAGCTTGCTGGTAAAGCTGCAAGCAGGAAAAGCCCTCACTGTGGAATTTCTGCTTGATATCACAAGGTCTTATAGACGTGCAGAAGAGGTGAGGGGGCTGTAAAGAGTGGCACAGTGGGTAACACAATTACCCTCCATGTAAAAGATTAGAAAGATTTGATTCTCATTCTTGGAACACTGACATGCAGTAATAAAAGTCTGGGTCACACTGCATTCATGTACAACTGAAAGTTCACCACTCAATAAGTTGCTTAACCAGTACAGAGAATAACTTCCTTAGTTCACCAACCAGTTTTACTCTAGTTTCAGAGAACTAAGCTATAAAACTTAATAAGTCTATGTTTTGCTTTTACATCACCAGGTTTAACTGAACGATGTACTGAACCAGGCCAGGCTAGAGATGGACATTAGGAAACAAGTTCTGAGACAGATTACAGGAGGGCAACAGAGGCTAGGCTAGGATATGCTGTGCTAAGATATGGCTATAATAAGTACTTACAATAAGTAGGGCTACTGGTTGATGCTAAAGACTGGGCTCAAAATTCCTTAAGATACAACGACCAATCAGAACAGAGGATTTCGTTTATAGCTGTGTGACCAACTTGGCTGAAAAAAAAAGGTGTGAGATAAAAAGCATTTGTTTAATAATTTATTAAGCTGCATTTTGCATGTAATCATATTATGCCACAGTAGATAAGCACATTAGATCAATAAAAATAAAATTAATTAAAGGCTTTATTTGAAAAGTTCATTTACCACAAACAATAAACGGCATCCTTAAAAAAATGAGCTGATAGTTATGAGTTATTCTTAACACACAGCACACTCTGAAACCTAATACTGCATTCATATACATATAAATTATTTTTAATAAAACAAAACAACCCAACTGCAAATATTACCTGAAATGCACAAATTAAAAGAACATTATTTAGGATTTCATTTAAAAATATATATTTGTTTTTGCAAATGAACTCTTCATTTATTGACAAACATATGCAGTTACAAATATGAAAAAGAAAAGATAGCAAAGTAAAACGCATAAAATAAAACAGAATACATTTATAATAGAGGGGAGAGGTGTTAATACTTCACTCTGATGGTGGCGTATTCTGCATTTTCTTCAATATCAGTAACTGTGGTTGTTGTTCTGGGTGTTTTACTGTGGACTACAGTAGAGTACGTCACTTCATCCTGTAGAGGATCACAAATGATAATTAACACACAGCACTGACCCTTTAAAACCACTTCAGAGTTTAACTTCTTCAGTAGGAATAGGATATACAGATATGCACTGAGTGCCAGTTTATCAGGTGAACTCACTCACATTCACTCACACTGTACATTCCAGTTAAAAATGGACAACATGAGTCACTTTTGTGACTATTTTAAGAGATTTCTAGATTTCTGTCTAATGAAACAAATCCAGTATTCCTTTTGTGTCATGCCATGCAGCGTAGCAATGCATTTTGTCCAAAGACGTTTTGTCATGAAAGCATTCCAGAAACATGTCAGTGATTTTTCCAGCATCTTTTAGAATCCATCCCCACAATGCAAAACACAACACTAGACCTAATTTATTAGTGCCTAATAAATTGGCAGCACAATAGTACAATACAAGTAAAATATCTGCTTTTGAGTATGTATCATCCTACCTGATAGTAATGATCATCTGCTGAAAGGGATATGTATTCAGATCATGTAAATATAATATTGTAGATGTAGTATGAAGACAGAGTGTGTCAGTGAGATATGATAGGATGTGAGGGACATGATGGCATATGATGGGATGAGATGGAATATGATGGGTTATATAATGTGATGTGCTAGAATATGATGAGATGATGATGGCATAAGAAAGGCTACCTTAGGATAATATGGGATGTGATAGGCTGTGTATGTAGGATATAATAGGAATATGTGACATTTAGATTGAATAAAATAGGAAACAATGGAAAAATGTGAAAAATATGATGAGTTATGAGTCATGTGATATATGATGTTATGAGATGTGATGGATTATGATGATGGAATGTGATGGGATAGGAAGAGACATGATGAGATATGTTTTGATGTATGAACTCACCTGTGTTTTCTGTTCTCTCTTCATCCTTCTTTTCTCTCGGCTCTCTGTCTGTCCTCGTCTCTGTCCTGCAGAATGAAATGATACAAAGTGATGCACAGATACTGCACATACCTCAACAGTGTGTGTGTGTGTGTGTGTGTGTACCTCTGCATCTCCAGTACATGACTCCTCCGAGTCCCAGCAGGAGAAGAAGAACAGGAATAATGATGAAGAAATAAATTGAATAATCTGTGTCTGGAAAGAAATGAGAGAGTTTGCATATTCTACGTACGTTTATGTGAGAGAGAAAGAAATTTAAAGAAGAAAACATGCTTGAATACAGCAATATAATAAATCACACTTTTTTTAACTTTACAGTGTTTCTCCTGTTCGTCTGTGTGCAACAGAACCGCATATTTGGAAAGCGTGATGAAATGTGATTATTTTGATTACTTGTGATTATTTGTAATTATTCTTACAGAGATCATACACAAAACTGTGACATTCTGCTTTCAGCAGGAATCAGCATGCTTTATTTACCATCCAGCGTTTGAGGGGATTGTGTGGTTAGTCTGGTGTGTACATTGACCACTGCAGTAGATGTTGTAGTTGTAGGTGGACCCTCTGTGGAGAGAGAAGAGTTTGACAGTCAGTGCAGAAACAGAACAGATAATGTAAATGTAACCTCAAATATACAACAATAGTTTTAAGGTCGAACTACGTATACAAGGAAATTCACTCGAAAGAGGCCCTAAATATTCTGTAAACTCTTGCTAGGACAAAACAATCTGAAGGAAACGACGTGCAATGTGGTCCTTGGTATATGGAGCTTCAAACAAGCCGGGATGCCCCTGCGTCGGAGCGATGAGGTTGGTGTCAGACAGCCATCATAATGTTTAACCTCCTCTTGCAACTTCGGGGTGCATATCCCCGCACCCTTTCATGTGTCTGGCAGAAAATGGAGATCACTTCCAGCATCGCATGTAATGCAATTGATTACGCATACGTCAACAGCACCTAGGCATGCAGAGTGCTTCTACAAACATTAGTGAAAGAATGGGTCACTCTCAGGAGCTCAGTGAATTCCAGCATGGTACCATGATAGGATGCCACCTGTGCAACAAGTCCAGTCGTGAAATTTCCTCACTACTAAATATTCCACAGTCAACTGTCAGTGGTATTATAACAAAGTGGAAGCAATTGGGAACGACAGCAACTCAGCCATGAAGTGGTCGGCCACGTAAAATGACAGAGTGGGGTCAGCGGATGCTGAGGCACATAGTGCGCAACTTTCTGCAGAGTCAATCGCTACAGACCTCCAAACTTCATGTGGCCTTCAGATTAGCTCAAGAACAGCGTAGAGAGCTTCATGGAATGGGTTTCCATGGCTGAGCAGCTGCATCCAAGCCTTACATCACCAAGCACACTGCAAAGTATCGAATGCAGTGATGTGACACTGAGGAAGCCTGTGTTTGCCTCCACCCCCTCATCGCTGGTGGTATCATGTGATTGGGAGAGACCTAACTAGTAGGTGGAACTGTACAGGACAAAATTTAGGAGAAAATTTGAAAATGTATCATTTGTTTTGCAGGGACCATTTTTTTAAACATTGATTTTTGTGATGTGTTTACCTCAGTAAAGTTATATAAGCCCAGAGGAGTTAAAAAAGGAAGCGTGTTTATTTCATTTCCCTTTCATGATTTTTTTTCCACTACCAACATGCACCATAAAGAGCATATGAAAAAACACTTTAATGTTACACCAGCTTTTTATCCTTCGGGGACCAGGTGAAAAAAACATATTGTGGAGCTAACTGGCTAAAAATTAGCATGCTAATGCTAAGTATTTTTTGTGTTGTCCCCAAAGGGTAAGGGGGAAAAAACAGCCACTCTTTCTGGCCAAAGCGGGTGAAACAGTATTTATTTATTTATTTATTGAAATCATTTTGAATACAGTAATTGAAAAAGTGAGAGAAAACATGTCTTTGAGGTTCATCTATCAGCTGAAATTTTATATGTAATGTTAGAAATATTTCTGATGTTGGAAGGCTGTTTTTGGTGTGACATATAGGCAGAGAAAATAAATAAAGTGGAACACAGAGTAAGGAAGGCTCTATCAATGTTTTTTTTCTCATATAACTCTGAGGCTTTGGTAGTAAATAAACAGTGTTGTGTGTTTATTATTGATTCAAATATGCAGAAACATGTTCTCTGTACAAGATGTGTTAATTTAACATAGAAAATCAACAAAACGTCATTTGACTAGGATGCCCAAACTTTTGCTTGCACTGTAGATGACCATTAATGAAATGCACTGACAGAGTATATCTGTGTGATTGTCTGTGTTTTGTCTGTGAAATTTGAAACAAGTACAATGTAGGCTTAAATACAGCAACATCACACAATGAATCACATTTTCACCCTTAGAAGTGTTTCATCAGTCCCCCTGTGTGTAGTGTTGTAAATGTAAAAAGGAAAAAAAAAATATAGACTGTAGTCCATCTGTTTCTCTGCATACTTTCTTAGCCCCCTTTTACCCTGTTCTTCAGTGGTCAGGACCCCCATGGACCCTCACAGAGCAGGTACTATTTGAGTGGTGGACCATGCTCAGCACTGCAGTAACACTGATCTGGTGGTGGTGTGTTAGTGTGTGTTGCGCTGGTCTGAGTGGACTGTGACCACTGATGAAGGACTAGAGGATGACCAACACAAACTGTGCAGCAGCAGATGATCTATCATCTCTTACTTTACATCTACAAAGTGGACTGACTAGGTAGGAGTGTCTAATAGAGTGGACAGTGAGTGGACACAGTGTTTAAAAACTCTAGAAGCACTGCTGTGTCTGATCCATTCATACCAGCAATGACCTCTGAAGAACAGGGTGAAAGGGGGCTAAGAAAGTCTTAACTGTAGAACTACAAAGTATATATATATATATATATATATATATATATATATATTTAAATATATATAACAAAGCAGTTCAGCTGAATGTTTAAAAAGTCATGCAGATACATTTAATTATAAGATTTAAAATTCTTTATGAATGAAAACTGAAACAGTGTTTTACCTTTTACAGTCAGTCTGATGGCTTTATATAAATCTTTAACAACACACCAGTAAACTCCTCCATCCTCCTCAGTCAGGTGTGATATGAGTAGAGAGAGATTTCCTGGAGAGTGACCATTAACCAGCTGAACTCTGTTTCTGTACTGACCACTCTCACTGGATATCTCTTCCCATGTTTGTGTCTCTGTGTTCTCTTTCTTCCAGCTGAATCTCTCAGGTGTGGTGTGTAGGTCAGTGCAGTAGCAGGGCAGCAGTACTGACCCTCCTCTATAAGCTGTGATACTCATTACTTGTTCTATGTTCTCCAGAGTGCAGCCTGTAAAAACACACATCAGATTAATTATATACTCTTTGTATGACATCATAATTATCACCCACAGCTTAGGATGATTATCGCAAAAATGTCTTTATAAAAAAGGGAGAAAACCCTAAACAGAATATTTATATCAGACGCACATTGTTGCTGTCCAAAAAACCCTCCATGTATCATGATTTCCTTTCTCAGTTTCATTATTTGCTCACAGTAGCTGTTCTTTATATTTACTCATAATTTCATAACAAGTGAACCAATAGAAAACTGTCCAAAATGTCATTAAGGAAAAAAAATAAATAATTACTTACATTAGAAGTAAAAGTAAAGAATGTTTTTATTTCTCTTGTAAAGTTTCCATTTTGGAGATGCTGTTTTTGACATTAAAGATATGAATATTTAAAGCTGTGTTTGAGTATTTTACATGTTCAGTGTCAAAACTTGAACTCGTACTAATTGCCATTTTTTTTGACTGGCATGTAAATTTAGATTTGTATGATTTGTATGACATCAGTAACAGAATTGAATACATTTGTATTTTTGTAGCATTTTTCCAGAGAAAAGCTACAAAGTTATTTATACAATTAAAGAAAATAAACAAAATAAAAGAAAAAAATATTTATAATAAAGAACAATAATGCAAGTAATAAGAGCAAAAAAATCAAACATAAATTCACACATATACACATAAAAAAAATTAAAAATAGAAAAAAAAGATGATTCATAAGTGAAAACCAAAGAAGGTAAGAGAATAAAAATCCGTGTTTAGTTGAGTCTTAATAACATGCAGTGAACAGACAGTCTAATGTCCAGAAGAGAGAGTTCAGAGTTTAGACAGTAAAAGTCTGGTCTCTTCTTTATTTGAACTTTGTTTTGGAGGCCAGATGATCTAGATAAGTAGATGATCAGGACTCTGTAGTGCATCCTGTTCATCAATGTATTTTCCTGTATTTATTAATATTAATGACACGATTGATGATGTTGATAGTCACTGCAAATCAAGCACTTGTGAATACTGTAAGTGTATTATCAGTATCTATAACAGGAAGTTTTCTTGATGTTCATTTTCTTCCCTGTTGTTTCTGATTTTCACCAACAGTTGAGCTACATACACTCTGACTAACACTCAGGGCTGTTTGCTGGACATGTAAAGATCCAGGACTCAGTTCTTTACAGAACAGTTTTGGATTTCATCCTCCTGCAGTATTTTTAAATGAACCTGTAAAATGTGCAGCTGCTACTTTATTTAATATGAGGATTCACACATCAACAACATGGACATGGACTCAGAAATGTTGACTGACGTGTCTCAGAAACAAAATCATAAAATAACCCAGAGTGACAAAAAATAAATAAATAAATATTCAAGAGTGACAAAACTGTTTGTAACAGAAAAACAAATGTAGCAAAAAAGAGATGCTGTTCTTATAAACCTCCATACGTTTCCTCTCTCTGTCCACATCAGTCTGTTCTACACGCTCCTCTCTGCTAACAGAGGAACGTTTATCTACAGTTTTATATATTTAAAAAGATAAACAGTCATTCAGTAAAACTCATCTTGCCCAATCTATAAAACAATGTGTTAAATATGAAAGATTGCGCTAAAACCCAGCATCCCATCAGGGTGATGTTGTGTCCTGATAAACACTGTTAGAGACCTGCAGTCCAAACTGAGCCTGACTTTTTTAAGTAAACTGTAAAACCTGGACTGGACTTGCGTAAATACGTCAGTAACCTGGCTGCCTTGAAATTTTAATGTTGTGCTTCAAACACTGAGTTAACAGCATTTCACACTCATGATCTCTGTTCTGTTAACTCAGTGTTTGATGTCAAATTAAAATGAAATTTCAAAATAGCCAGTTGACTAACTGTAGTAGAGAATTCCCTTAGTATTCCCATATTTTTCTCTTGCATTATTATCACACGCTGACACTATTTCTCCCTGTGGAACGTTATAAGGTTCAGGGCTGGTTTAAAAATATTTGGGACTAAAGCCCTAGAAGCCCAGATCAGGTGACACCCCTGCTGATATGAATGCATTGTTCAGAAAAGAATGTGTTTATTATGTATTTACTGTGGTTATTCACAGTGTTATATTGCACTTATAGAACTGGGGGGTCACACCTATATTTTTTGAAAAGCGCATCACCACAGCAGTAAGTTAGTAAGTAAGAAAGTAAGTAAATAAATGTTTAACACTAAGTGAAGATTAAACATTTTGATCAGAGGTGTTGAAACTTTTCCCTATGACTGTTTTATTAGCTCTGTTTATCATCTTGTGTCTCTGATTTAGTTTCACAGTAAACAGAGTGAAGCTCATGCAGAGAAACAAGATAATAAATAGAGCTAATAAGACAAACAGACATATGAAAATGTTTCAACATCTCTGGTCAAATGACATCATTTGTTGATTTTCATAATGAAAATGAGTGAACACACCTTTAACACAGAACAAACCTAGATATCTTTTTTTTATTTATTTCTCCGAAAAAAGTGACTTTAAATTTAGTCTCTGTTTTCTCCACAGAGAAGTTCAACCTCATTTTCACTAAGAAAATCTACAAAACATGTTATTAAAATGAAGGTACACATTTTGTACATGACTGTAGGTGAAGAGTGATGAGGGGTGGAATGTTTAAAAAGTCATAGAGTCGATTTTCTATACAGATACATTTAATTATAAGACTTAAAATTCTTTATGAATGAAAACTGAAACAGTGTTTTACCTTTTACAGTCAGTTTGATGGCTTTATATAAATCTTTAACAGCACACCAGTAATTTCCTCCATCCTCTTCAGTCAGGTGTGATATGAGTAGAGAGAGATTTCCTGGAGAGTGACCATTAAACAGCTGAACACTGTTTCTGTACTGACCATTCTCACTGGATATCTCTTCCCATGTTCGTGTTTTTGTGTTCTCTTTCTTCCAGCTGAATCTCTCAGGTGTGGTGTGTAGGTCAGTGCAGTAGCAGGGCAGCAGTACTGACCCTCCTGTATAAGCTGTCATTCTCATTACTGGTTCTATGTTCTCCAGAGTGCAGCCTGTAAAAACACATATCAGTAAAATCAGATTAATTATCTACTCTTTGTATGACATCATAATTACAGTTTTTTACATTTAAAATATTTAATGTCAACCTACAGCTTAGGATGATTATCACTTTTTGATATGAATCATATATATATATACTGTATTTGAGTGTGTTATGTGTCGTGTTTCGGGTTTTCGCTCTATTCTCCACTCAACTTGTGCTCTCTCTCTCTCTCTCTCTCTCTCTCTCTCTCTCTCTCTCTCTCTGTCTCTCTGTCTCTCTATAGGTGGAGTGAGCTGCCAATCATCAGCAACAGCGTTGCCAATCGGCCAATTACACACGGACTTGCTGCCAAAAGGGGCGGAGCCTCCCATTTAAAAACTACGCGGACTACCTGCGTGTCGGCCTACCAGCTCACTCGGTTTCCACGCGGTCACGTGTTTGTTTGATGATTGGCTCAAACCGAAGGTGCTGATCTGTCTAATTTGGTTTTATTTGGAGTGTTGTGTGTTAGTTCTCTCTCTTTTCTCCCCTCCGCTTGTGTGTTTGGTAGTTAGGCTAGACTTCAAATACAGTTCAGAGTAGTTTTTATTTATTAATATATATTTTTTGTACTGTCCATGTTCTTTCTCTGAGTTAGGATTAGCTCAGTCTAAATACTGGGCTGTTGTGCTGCTTGTTTGTCTGTTTGTTCTTGTAAGTATTACACCCTCGTCAGAAATAGACTCTGGAATAAATTCTGTTTTGCCCAAATCCTTTTTCTCCTGCCGGTCACTCCACACTCACCAGTAGTCCCACCCTTCCTCCAATTACATCAGTCTATCAATTTAATCTGGACTATTGCCATTTAGTCAGTATGCAATGGAGTACATGACATGTTTAACATCAAAAATTGAGCTTGTGCTGATTGTAATTTTTGACTGGCATATAAATTTCAGTAACTCAGTAACAAGAGAAAAAAGGTCACTCACCTTCAACGACATGAAGTCCAATGAAGAGAAGATAGAAAGTCAGCAACATTCTCACTAGTAAAACGACACTGAGTTCACAGCACACTGACAGCTCCACACCCAGCACTACACTAGCCCTGTATACCACACTGAGTACACAGCTCTCTCAGCAGCTCTTCACTGGAGTCTAACCCACTCTAATGTCCGTGCAGCTCAGCTAGACTGCAACTCTTCTGTCTTTTAGAGATTTTATCAGCAGCTTCTTCAGAATCACAAACCACACACAGTGACGTGGTGGACTCTGAGAACACCTACTGTTTCCTTTTTTGTAGTACATCATTTCGCAGAACACACAAGTGGACACAAAAAACAGCCAAATAAAGAATCATATACATGTAGTCTTTCTCACATCCTTGCAGGAAAAAAGAGGTCTAAGCTGATCTAAATTGGGAACACTTACTGTTTCCTCTTTTGCAGTGCATCATTTCACAGTACACACAAATATTTTATGTCTTAGCTTACTTGCTTTCATTTTTTATTTCTTTTTTCTTTAAATTCTCCAGTCCTGCAGGTATTCCAGGATAGCCACTCTGGGTATGTTTCACTGGTTGTTCTTCTGCTTTCTTGTAGTCCTTCATACTGCCTGGAACTCAATGATGCAGTTTATATACTCAAATTTACATCCTATCTGGTTTCAATTTTAAGTGTGAGTGTGTTTGTTTGTGCATGTGTGTGTATGGGGGGGTGGGGGTGGTTGTACATAATTTATTTTGAAGTGCATTAGGGATTGTATTCTGGGAAACCCTTTATATATGACCATGTAGCCCTTTCTCTGCAGTGTTATGCTTATTTAATGTTGTAGTCCACAATCTTGTCTTTCAAAACCATGTTAAGGCAACACTCACACTTGAGGACTAATCTAATAATCAACTAATCTCCTGTAGCTCTGACCACATGTACTCTTCTGTATCTTGTGTTCTTTTCTGTTCTTTATTTAACTATGGGCTCACCTTTCTGTGGTTTCACTTGTTGTTGTCTCTGGTGTTGCTATGGTAAAGAGATGTGATCTCATGGTTGTGAAACATCTATGTGGTCTACGCCTCTATTTTCAGGTAGCTATAATAGTTTCAAGTGTGGCCGTGGTCCAGGGAGAGGGGTCAAGACACGCTGACTTTAAACCTGACGAGGTGTCAGAGACACAAACACCAGCATGAATAACCCCAGCATGAGTGGTGTATTTACACATCTGTGACATACTAAACAAATGTGTATTTAAAGTCTTACATATTTCAGTCCTTATGGAGTCTTTCTTGCTCTTTCATCCTCCTCCTCTGTTACCATGCTAGAATGATTTAGTCTAATGCTGCCTGTGCTCTTCCCTAAAACAAGCACCACCTGTCCATGATTAGGGAAGAGCCCTAACCAAACACAAGCAGGAAATACTGCTACTCTGCCTCTCCTCCACCACACAAGATTATCAAATCTGCAATAAGCCACCTGCACTGAATTAAATAAATGTGGATTTTATAAAGATACATGTGTGGTATCTGGAGCAGTAAACAACATGCTTATTTTACCCCGACACACAGTGAGGAGGCCGAGTAAAGACACATCAGTTTCTCCAAGGATCACAGCTGCAGTAGAACTTTGGAGTCTCCAAATCTACACGATGCTGCCTCCATATCAACACACTATTTGGAAGGCATGCAAGAAGAAGTCCTTTTCTTTTGTCTTACCATAAAGGGATGTGCCTGGTTTGCTTCGATTACTGTGATTTTCAGTGGAACTGGGTTCAAGACTTAGACAAGATAAAAACATGCACGGGATGTAAAAAGAAGCATGAATTTGAAAATGCCTGCTGTTAATTATGGTGGAGAATCTGTGATGTTTTGGGTCTGATTTTCCTCAGAAGGCCATGGGAACCAAAAAATATATGAATATGTTTGCTGACTTTTGTTGTTTCAAATGTGTAAATGGGTTCAAAGTGAATAAAATGTCAAATATAAGTAAATTGATGTTTTTTTGTTTGTTTGTTTGTTTTTTTATAGTTTATACATGTGGAAAGGTTCTCAAATAAAGTTTGGATTCTAGGATTATTTTCAGTATACTAAATACTAAATAGCCTTTTTGGTTCATTTTTTTCTTCTTTTTGTTAGATTGAATTTAGCTAAATTTTGATTTCCTTTGTACACTATATTGCCAAAAGAATTCACTTACACATCCAAATCAGGTGTTCCAACCACTTCCAAAGCCACAGGTGTATAAAACCAAGCACCTAGGCATGCAGACTGCTTCTACAAACATTTGTGAAAGAATGGGTCGCTCTCAGGAGCTCAGTGAATTCCAGCGTGGTACCGTGATTGGATGCCACTTGTGCAACAAGTCCAGTCGTGAAATTTCCTCGTTACTAAACATTCCACAGTCAACTGTCAGTAGTATTATAACAAAGTGGAAGTGATTGGGAACGACAGCAACTCAGCCACGAAGTGGTCGGCCACATAAAGTGACAGAGCGGGGTCAGCGGATGCTGAGGCGCATAGTGCGCAGAGGTCACCAACTTTCTGCAGAGTCAATCGCTACAGACCTCCAAACTTCATGTGGCCTTCAGATTAGCTCAAGAACAGCATAGAGAGCTGGACTCTAGAGCAGTGGAGACGTGTTCTCTGGAGTGACGAATCACGCTTCTTCGTCTGGCAATCCGATGGACGAGTCTGGGTTTGGCGGTTGCCATGAGAACGGTAATTGTCTGACTGCATTGTGCCAAGCGTACAGTTTGGTGGAGGGAGGATTATGGTGAGGGGTTGTTTTTCGGGAGTTGGGCTCGGCCCCTTGGTTCCAGTGAAAGGAACTTTGTGGGAACAGTTTGGGGACGGCCCCTTCCTGTTCCAACATGACCGCGCACCAGTGCACAAAGCAAGGTCCATAAAGACATGGATGAGCGAGTTTGGTGTGGAGGAACTTGACTGAGTCCTGACCTCAACCCGATAGAACAGTTTTGGGATGAATTAGAGCGGAGTCTGTGAGCCAGGCCTTCTCGTCCAACATCAGTGTCTGACCTCACAAATGCGCTTCTGGAAGAACGGTCAAAAATTCCCATAAACACACTCCTAAGCCTTGTGGAAAGCTTTCCCAGAAGAGTTGAAGCTGTTATAGCTGTAAAGGGTGGGCCAACATCATATTAAACCCTATGGATTAAGAATGGGATGTCACTCAAGTTCATATGCATGTGAAGGCAGACGAGCGAATATCTTTGGCAATATGATGTATTTTTAGTGTAACTATGAACAGATTAAGCACAAAAACACTTTTATAAACTTTGTCCAGGCTTTACTAAGAGTTTCCATAATTATAGAGACCACTGCTTACAAAATAACACAGATCAACTTATATGAAGAAATTTTAAATGAGAAATTAATTAAGTTTTTCTGAATTAGATACTAACAGTGTAGAAGTGCAAAGATGAGCCACTGATTTATGGCACACTGGGACACTTTTTTTTTAAAGAGGAAGTTATGATGAACATAACAGATGAGGCACAACAAGCGAACTTCAGTAGACTGATTTCATCTTTCTAAACATTGTGGCTTCATTCTTCTGTCACCTAAATGTACTTTTCTTCATATTCCACAGTGTGTGCAGCTTGTATCGGGCAGTGTGAGACTCTCAGGTCACTGAAGAGAATAAAAACACATGGACTCAGAACACCAGCTGAAAAGTCTGTCTGTTTAATCTCTCAGGTGTTAGTCGGCTGGTGAGTGGCTTCACGTGCTGATCATTTTCAACTACTAAGCATCTGTAAACTCTGAATGATCTGCATGTTGGACGTTGAGGGTGTAGGACAGGTTTTCAGCACCATAGTCAGTGACCTACAGCTCTGCCTCTAACTCCTGTAGCCCAGTGTCATGCCATGACCTGTCTGAACTGTTTATCTTACAAGTGTTTTGGAATGTCGTGAAGGATGAACCACAAAAGCATGAGACAAATCACAAGATTCCCAAATACATACATACATACATACATCATCTAAACCGCTTATCCTTCTGGGTCGCGGTGGGGTGCTGGAGCCTATCCCAGCTGTCATTGGGCGGAAGGCAGGATACACCCTGGACAGGTCGCCAGTCCATCGCAGGGCAGACAGACAGACATACACAGTCACTCACACTAAGGGGCAATTTTAGCATGTCCAACTGGCCTGACTGCATGTCTTTGGACTGTGGGAGGAAACCCATGCAGAACATGCAAACTCCACACAGAAATGACCCTGGTCACCCGGCCGGGAATCGAACCCAGGCCATTCTTGCTGTGAGGCAACAGCGCTACCCACTGCGCCACCGTGCCGCCCTGATTCCCAAATAATGTCCTTTAATTTATTAGTCATTAAAATGTTGAGTGATTAGTATTTTTTGTGTTTTTTACATGACATTTACAAAAAAAGCAGAAAAGCAGTGAAAGTGCAACAGATCGTTTTCAAAATGTAAATGTATGTTTGCCTGTTTATGAGCAGCATCTGAGGAGGAATTCTTAAACATTTCCACTCATGAGTTTAGGATAGTTTAGCTGCCAAATGGTGACTTCATGTCAGTGTTGCAGGACTGCACTACTACTGACTGACCACTCCATCTCCACCAGCAGTGCTGTGGTGAACTCTGGCTGGATCTGACAGTGATACAAAATACTTGATAAATGAACAAAAACAATAACATTTCTTTGATAATAACAGTTTGATTGTGCAGATTGAACCTTTAGTTCTCTTGGTCTGATAAACCACAGCAACACTAATGTGGAGAACGATCACTTTGATCATGGCGAAGGGAACGAAGGGCAGAGACTTCGGACATTCTGCAATGACAAGTGGATCATCTTATTCATTTTATTATTAAGTCTTTAATTAACCACTGTGTGAACATTTTATATGCTGTTAAAAAAATTGATTTATGATTTCTCTTCAGAACAAAGTTTAGATGTCAGTCATTATCTTCATCACTACAGACATCCTAAATGAAATGATTGTGTGTTATTGACCGTTTTATTGCATGATCTGTGTTTACCATTAATCTCTTGAGAAGCTGCTGTGGTTGGTGTGGTAAGACTGTTTAAGGTGTTGACCACTGCAATAGATGTTATAGTTTTAGGTGAGGCATCAGTAGAAACAGAAAGGAAGTCAGTGCAGGAATAGAACAGCAATAATCACCTGACTGTAGATACGTAGTTACATTAAAGCAAATCATTAAAATATATATATATATATATATATATATATATATAAAGGAAGTGAATTCCTGAGTCAAAGTTCCACTTCCCCCTCACGATGTTTTTCCCCTACTGAAATGCGCCATTAAAATTAAATAAATAAATAAATAAATTACACCATCTCATTCTACACATTCTCCACTCAGTTGACAATAAACTCTCGGCAATAGATGCTAGAATCTCACTGGCAGAAGTACTGAGTGCTGCACAAAGAATTCCAGACTATAAGTGAAAGCTTGGAGTTCAGCCAAGAGCAAATTGTGTCACTGACCAAAGAAACACTAATATGATCAGTCAGCGAACTCACTACACAACTCTCATCTGTTGTTAAAGAAAATGAGGAAATGAAAGAAACTATTCTGGATTCATTAAAACACAGCATGAGGAACAATATGGTTTTCTCTGGTATTCACCTATTCACTCACCCTTACACCTCCACAACAGAACCACTTTACTGAAATCTTCAGCAAAATCTAACTTACTGATATGTTATCACTGAACTTTATTATTTGGAATGTCCATGGAATTGGCATATATAAGATTCTGCATAGATCTTAAATTAAAAGCAGATTTCAGTTTAATACAAGTTACTGTGTATTACCAAAGAGGTCCAGAAGGATGATTTATTATAATAAACATTAACATCAACAACACTCCTATAACCAAATAGTTATAGCCTGAACACTGATGATCCATGATTCTTTCACACATTTTTAAACACCTCTCCAGCCTTCCTGACTACCCAATCATTGTTGTTTGTGACGTTCATACCGTCCTTCACCCACATTTAGACAGAACATCTTACTCACGCAACACAAGGTGTGGTCAATGTGCTGTACTTACCTTGAGTTTGAGATGAATGTGTGGTTGAAGTGGCTGGACTGGTGTGTACATTGAGTAGATGTTGTAGTTTTGTTGTAGTTTTAGGTGGACCCTCTGTAGAGAGAGAAGAGTTTGATAGTCAGTGCAGGAACAGAACAGCAGTAAACAGCTCACTGTAGATACACAACAACATGAAAACATTTTCTTGTAAATGACCAGAACAGCTTATATCAAAATGTACAAATGTTCAAATCAGTTCAGTGTGAGTAAAGATGGAGAATAAAGCTAAACAGCAGATACATGCTGAATCAGGTTAAATACAGGTTTCTTTAATTTAGAGATGACAGTATAAATACATATTTAAATAATGTTTAACCTTCAACAGTGAGTCTGATGTCTGTGTGGTCACTTTTCTGTAAGATCATTCTCACCACAATTTACCCTCATAAACACATCATTTACATTATTCATGGAATGGAACAGAATGACTTCTTTTTATTTTAGATGGTAGAATGATGTGATTATGTAGTTTGACTAATTTTCATAAATCACTGACCGCTTGGGCAAAAGTATTGCAGTGTGAATGAAAACACCGTTTTACCTTGTAAAGTGAGTCTGATAATTAAATGTAAATCTTTAACAGCACAGATATAATCTCCTCCATCCTCTTCAGTCAGGTGTGATATGAGTAGAGAGAGATTTCCAGAAAAGTGACCATTAACCAGCTGAGCTCTGTTTCTGTACTGACCACTTTCACTGCATATCTCTTCCCATGTTTCTCTGTTTGTGTTGTCTTTCTTCCAGCTGAATCCTTCAGGTATGGTGTGTAGGTCAGTGCAGTAGCAGGGCAGCAGTACTGACCCTCCTGTATGTACAGTGATAGGAACTGGTGTTCTTCTGTTTCCCACCAGAGTGCAGCCTGCAGACAAACACATCAGTAAGATCAGATTAATTATATAGTCTTTTTATGACTTTGTGATTATAGTCTTGTATGTAATGTCAACCCACAGCTTTGGATGATTGACACTCTTTAATGGAAAACAAACAAATGAAGAGAAAAAGATACAGGAACAGTTACATGTGATGCATATCATTGCTGTCCTTTATATCATAAAACAATTTCATGATGAATGGACCAGCAGAAGTGGTCCGAGATGACATGAACATTACTTTGATTTACATGAAAAGTATGCACCCCCCCCCCACCCCCCAGAGGAACAAATATGTACATATAATGCTGTGTTTCAGTATATTACATTTTTAATATTAAAAATGCAATTTGTGCTAATTGCAGTTTTGACTGGCACATAAATTTAGGTTTGTAAGACATCAGTAACTCAGTAACAAGATAAAAAAAAAATACACTCACCTTCAGAGACATGAAGCCCAATGAAGAGAAGATAAAAAATCAGCAACATTCTCACTAGTAAAACAACACTGAGTTCACAGCACACTGACAGCTCCACACCCAGCACTACACTAGCCCTGTATACCACACTGAGTACATAGCTTTCTCAGCAGCTCTTCAGTGGAGTCTAACCCACTCTAATGTCCGTGCAGCTCACAGGAGCTGTGTTTAAATCAGCTAGACCGGAACTCTTCTGACTTTTAGAGACTTTATCAGCAGCTTCTTCAGAATCGGAAACTGCACACAGTGACATGGTCTGAGGTCATTAGAACACTTACTGTTTCCTCTTTTGCAGTGTGTCATTTTGCAATACAAACAAGTAAACATGAGAAATAAAGTCATAGGTCTTGCATGCATATTTTGGGGAGATCAATCCATTAAGAAATGTATTGAAAAACATTTTAAATATGAATATGTAGCCATTTCTCTCTGATTTCTCTGACCTCATTTACTTTTCTCATCGAGAACCCTCTGGATTTAGCGACACTGATTTATGAGCTGAAGAGATCCTTACAAGAGCTATATGTGGATGTAAAGGTGTTACGTAAGGACATGGACTCTTTTCAGCAGAGAGTGGTTGGAGTGGAGACAGCTTTCTGCAGTCAGCTCTTTGGTCACTTTGCTTGGTAGCCACACTGACGTAGTCCAGGCCAATCAGTGGCAAGACAGAGAGGAGGTCGCCAAAATCATTTACGTCTGGTAAATTTACCTGAAAATGCAGAGGGTGATGATTTGATCTCCTTTCTCCAGCCTCAGTTGCCAATTTAGACCCCTTCACTGGCACAGAGAGGGGGCATCAACATTGAAAGAGCTCGCCGAGTCTGAACGCTCATCTTCAAACTCTTGCAGTACAACCATCAGCTGGTGATCCTAAAGGCCTACAGACAACCAGGCACCAAGATTCTTCATAGCCATATCAATGTTCATTCACTATATATCAAAGTTCATTCCATATATATCAATGTTCATTCCATATATATCAATGTTCATTCAATATATATCACAGTTCATTCCATATATATCAATGTTCATTGTATATATATCAAAGTTCATTCCATATATATATATCAATGTTCATTCCATATATATCAATGTTCATTGTATATATATCAAAGTTCATTCCATATATATCAAAGTTCATTGTATATATATCAAAGTTCATTCCATATATATCAATGTTCATTCAATATATATCAAAGTTCATTCCATATATATATCAATGTTCATTCCATATATATCAATGTTCATTGTATATATATCAAAGTTCATTCCATATATATATCAATGTTCATTCCATATATATCAATGTTCATTGTATATATATCAAAGTTCATTCCATATATATCAATGTTCATTGTATATATATCAAAGTTCATTCCATATATATCAAAGTTCATTGTATATATATCAAAGTTCATTGTATATATATCAATGTTCATTCCATATATATCAATGTTCATTCCATATATATCAATGTTCGTGAACACTGATATATATATATATATATATATATATATATATATATATATATATATATATATATATATACATATTGAATGAACATTAACCTAATGAAATGTTGTGCATGTGCAATTGAAATTTATTCGTGCATTCACATACTTATAGACTAAGTACTTAGTTAATAGTTACTGGAAATAAATGGAACTTTAATTTGCCACTAGGCACTGCTTTGGTCAACATAGTTGGGTCCTCTGCTAAAAGCCGCGAATTTGCTCGCGGGGTAGGGTGAGGGAGGGTCCTTAATCAATCATGGCAGAAAGAGCTCGGGAGTTGGTTGCATCGCTTCTCAACGACAGGAGTTTTATGGACTCTATTGCGAATGCGTGTAGTAGTAGTGCTCCTAGTGCACAGCCGTCATTTGGGCATGTAGAAGATGAAGTTCGTTCACTTTTCAATAGAGGGCCACAAATAAGAGCACCCGATGCAAATGCATGTAACGTTATTCACACCAACAGCGATTTCAGCCTGCACTTGAGTGGCATGTCCTGCCCACCGCCACCGCCTTTGCCTGCCCAGTCGTATAATTTAAGGCGTCTGCCGAGGGTAAACGTCGGAAGACAAACAAGGTATCTATGTTACAAGACATGACATTGACTTTTGTTTTATGCCCCTATTAAAGGAAAAAAGGTCCCATTCTGCCAAATTTGCTGCTCGGCTATCTTGCTTCTTGGTAATCCTTGCTAATACTAACTTCAGGTTGTAACTTGCAATGACATGAAATTGTGTTCTGCGTTGTTATCTCTACACATAGAGTCACACGTCTGTAGAAGTTGCATGTACATGCTTCAGCAAACACACTAACTAGTTATGCTAGCTAGCTAGCACACTTGCTATTCAGCTTGCTTCATCTCAACAAACTTTTAACGAAACTGTAATTGTACAAATAGCAATCGACATGCCAACATAACTATTTTGGTCTGAACGTTGTGGTCATACAGTGCTTGATAACTGTATTAACCTGCGCTGCCCTCAAGGCGTTTTATAGCCTTAACGTTATAGTGAATTGGTAAGCGTTTTATAGCATCCGGGGTTTGTGAACTTACAGTGTCGAAAGCATTTTTTAAGGAATAGTTAATTAGAAATGAGTGAGTCAAGAAGTAGGAACATATGAATGCAATAAATTAACTAATTAATTAAGAGTAAGAGTAAATTATTCAGGATTAATTAATGCGTCTTCCAGCATAAGAAGGTAATGGTAACGAAGGCCTTTGTAGGACTACTACTAAAGCTGATCCATTGATTTTATTCTGTTCATGCAGTACATACAATTACTTGTGTAGCCTGTATGCTAATGCCAATGTACGTTGTTTGTAAGAAAACTGGGGTATTTCACAAAGAAGAATTTCTCAGTTTACTAAGCCCAAATATTAGGATTGTCCAACAGTAATGTTCCTTGGCTCTTTTCCTATTGGACATGCTTGATGTTGGGCTTAAATTGTCTGGGTAAACTGAGAAATCCTGCTTTGTGAAATACACCCTATTACTCTATTACAAATCATCGTTATTCAGAAAAGTACAGCTATTTTTTCTCACCAGTAGGTGGCAGAATTCACGACAGCATATATCAAATAGCCACAGTCTCCCATGATTCTATTAATGTGAATATCGCTGTGAAACTATGCCAGAAAAATGATTTGTAAAGGTATTTTTTTACAAACTAAAATCATTTTCATACTTTTTCAACTGAGCTGCTAAATTAATACATACAGATATTAAAAAAGTTATGTACTATTTGAATCGCAAATATAGTGCTTACACCTATTATTGTCTGGTTCGATAGTTACTTAATCAGCTTTGGGTGAATGTAAAGGTTTTTCGTGTATTAATTTTATAGATATTGTTAGGTCAGTTTGGTGTATGTTTGGAGTGGTACATACACAAGTAAACTTTGTAAGGACCATTGTGTGATTCTGTCAATGTGAATATGTCTGTGACAAAGCATCTATGAGTTAACAGGTACATTACTCTTTGGGGAACAAACACAGTTTATCATAAAGAATCTGTATTTAATCAGTAACAAAATCTTAACAGGTAACCATTCACTTTGTTAGGGCACAGACATTATAAATGATTCTAGGGATGTCACAATTATATTATTAAAAACTATGGTCTTGATGAATCAGCTTACTAATGAATTTATAGGTTGAATACTGAATGGGACATCCATTGGTCTTAATAAATTAAGTTGTTCCTGCTTATTGTCTCATTACTTTCTGTAAGAGTAATAATTGTTGATGTACCTTCACTATGAAGTGTAATTTTTTTTGCTGTTTCCGTAAGACCCATGTTATCTCTTGGTGAGCAATTTTTGCCTCTCCTTTTGTTCATTTTATCTGCTTAATCCAAGTTCGTAAGCTAATTGGCTTTTTTCCAAATGTCATTCTAGTTCGATTACCATAGGCTGATGTTACACTCAGTAAAATACTATGAAATTGTGAGGGTAAAAACTTGTAATCATTTTGCTTTCTCATGAAATACAGCAATCAATTTTCTGTGCCAGTGTATTGAAGTGTTGCACTGCGCTAACAGGTCATTTTTTCCTCTGGATTTTTTTTTTCTGCTTTTTTTGGAAAATAGACGTGTTCAAGGACCTCCTCAGCTTGAGACTTTTACAAAGGAGGTTGTGCTTCTTCCAGACAACACGACTACCCTTGTGCCACGACGAGCAGATAAAGCCTGGTTGTTTGATAATGGCCATGTGAAATCTGCAGTAGAATTTAACATTCAATGGGGCGAGTCAGAGGTGATGTCCACAATTCGGAGGGCTTTTATGCCACAGGTTGATGGTTGTAGGTGAGTGTGTAAAATGTTAACCTACTTGGACCATGAAGAAAAACTCACTGCTTGCTGTATGTTTATGTCACAAACTTTAATATCTGGTTGTGTTATTGCACATTTTCTAATTAATCTGAGTGTGTAGTTTGCAGTTGCCACAGCAAACTTGTGAAACCATCTCTAGCACCCCATCAAGAAATGAGTGGGCGTATGTTAAAGAAGGTTTTCCACCAACGCTCAGTATATGTGCTGCCTGACAAAGTACTGCTTGACCAATCTGTAAGTTGGCCATTATTTCAGTATGTTTATTTATCAATGCTGCCTTGTGTGTTTAAATAAACTATCCATTTATTCATTTCATTCATTATTCTTTTCAGTAGATGTTAACTTGCAATGTCTCTCTGCATTCTGAATGTAAAAACTAGCTACCTCATTGAGGAGCAATATAGCACTTTCATGCTTTAAGAATTTCCAATTTTTAAAAACATTTTTAGTTAGTATGCCATGTTTTGTGCAGTCAAGTGAAAGTGGGGAAGAAAGTCCTGGATCTGAGATTGGAAGTTCAGTTGCTTCCTCAAAGAGTGAGACTGTTGGTGAGTGCAATATATACTGTACATGATATAGTGTCAGCTGTTATTTGATAAAAATGATTGGACTGTGGTTTTAACATGTGCTAAACTTATGCATGGCTACTAGCCTAACAATAAGTCATTCATTAGATTTGATTAGTTTGTATTAAACCACTACTGTATTAAGCCGGTATATTAGCATTATTTATGATGTTTTGCCTCAGTCTTAAAAAATGTGACTTGTGCTTTTTGTGGTGATATGATATCTTGCGTAAGATTAACCCTGTTATAACAGGCTTTCAGGATATAAATGAACTTGAAACTATATGCATTATCATGTTACTACCTCAAATAATACAATAATGATGCATGTTGTGTATGTCTTTGTTTGAAAAAGTAGTTCAGCAAGATGTACCACATGTTGTGATGGATCAGCAGCAAGACAGACACAGAATAATGTCTGATCTCCCAGAGGAGGAAAGCAATGTGATATTGATCTCGCAAACAGGTCCACGTGAGACGGTCAGAACAAGCACATTATATGGGTATGTATTATCATAGTATTAGTCGTAGAGGGAATACAGTTTTCATCAGCACATCTTACCTCTTACTTAGTTATTTACACTTTCATACCCTTATTAAAAAAATAGGTGATATGTGTACTTCATCATATTGACAGACCCTTTTAGGTTAGATATATACTGCTAAGTGTAGTAAAAACTTGTGACTGGTATAGTATTTGTTTCTAGCATTAGTGTTAGACAAGAGAGGCTGTATCCCCACAGAACATAAGAATGAAACTAGGAAATGCAATGTGATGCTCTTTAGCTTTATTTACTGGAGGGTTGCAAGATTGATAAATGTATATCTGGTGATTGAGAACTATTTACCAGTATTTGTTACACATTTTAGTGAGTATGTGAATTTGCTGGAGATAGAGGAGTATGAACCAGAAGATGCAAGCCTTCAGGAAGCAATTGCGAACTCCCTGTCTGAGACGAGTTTCAGAACTGTGAAGTAAGACTGTTCATTTGTCAATGCATTTATTATTTTTCTAATGAAAAGTGAATGTAGAGAAATCATGTCAGAACTTTTTCCACCTTTAATGAGACATTGCAATCTATAAAACCTGAAAAACAGTCAAGCATTAAACTTGAAGTAACCTGGTTGCACGCCCTAAACTAATACTCTGTTGAAGCACCTTTTGTATTAATTACAGCATTTGGTCTTTTTTGGGTCTGTCAGCTTGGCACATCAAATCTTAGCAATATTTTCCCATTCTTTTTTGTAAAAATGGTCTGGATTCATCAAATTTCAATGGCATCTTCTGTGCACATCCCTCTTCAGGTCGCCTCAGATTTTTTTTTTTATGTCCAGGTTCTGACTGGGCCATTCCAAAACATTGTGCCAAAATCAGCTGGTATTTAGAGCTATTCATGATTTCCCCCACTTTGATAAAAGTTATAGTTACAGATGAAGAACAGCAGCCCCAAAGCATGATGCTGCCACTGCCATGCTTCATCATGGGTATGGTGTTCTGTTGGTAATGGACATTGTTATTTTTACACCAGACAAACTTTTTGGAATTATGGCCAGAAAGTTCAGTCATGATTGTCAGACTATAACACATTTTTCCATATGGGTTTGGGAGACTGGATATATCTTGCAAAATTCCATCTCTGTTAATTCCACCCCTCCCCCTTATGTATTGCCACCCTACCCCATAGCCCAGACATATACTCTGTGGAGAAAAGTATTCGGACACCTACACATCACACCTACAGGAGCTTTTATGAATCCCATTCTAAATCTATAGGCATTAATATGGAGTTGGTCCCCCTTTGCAGCTCTAACAGCCTCCACTGTTCTAGGAAGACAAGATTTTAGAGAGTGTTTGTAGGAATTTTTACCCATTTATTCAGAAGAGCATTTGTGAGGTCAGGCACTGATGTTGGACGAGAGGGCCTGGCTCACAATCTCCATTCTAGTTCATCCCAAAGGTGTTGGATGGGGTTGAGGTCAGGGCTCTGTGAGGGCCAGTCAAGTTCTTTCACCTCAAACTCACCCAGCCATGTCTTTATGGAGCTGCTTTGTGCACTGGGGCTCAGTCATGCTGGAACAGAAAAGGTTCTTCCCCAAACTGTTCCCAGAAACACATCCCCAATTAAACACTTAACCCACCAGGTTATTATCATTTTTTTCTCTTTTTTTAACCCTAAATTTGTTTATTTTTTCATTTAATTTATAGGTTTTATATTTCACATTAAAGCTGATTCTGACATGATTTTTTTTTTTTACATAGCAAAAACTGCTGTTTTACAGGGGTGTGTAGACTTCTTAAATTTTCTGTTTACCACTGCATGTTCATTGCTACTAGGCAGGTTACAAAATCTCTTGGTTATAAAATGGTTATAAAATCTCTAATCTATAATGTGTTTGTAACCCACTTAAAGTGAAGGTTTATTTTCATTTCATGTTTGTGCTGCACTTAAGGTATAGATGTTGCAGTTCTTGAAATTTCCTGTAGAGGGCGCTTTAAGATAGTCTGAGCCACCTGGGAGAACTGGTCCAAACCAGTTTTAGAAAAGAAAAAAAACAACGAACGAAACCACTTGCAGCTTAGCTTTGAATTTACTACTCTTCACAGCATTGAATTTATTGACCTAGAGTACGGATTTACAGATATTAAGACTAGAACTGAGCCATATTTTACTTCTTTCACTCTGTAAAGGTGAAATTATCCATCAATGTCTTTTGCTGTCGATTATTTCCCCTTTTAATGAGCAACTCTGGTGAGTTAAACTCATTTTTTCTCATGCTAGTCAGTGTGAGTTAGCATGTTATGCTGCTGACTATAAAAGAGTAGGATGAAAACTGTTCAAACGGTTTATTATTAGAAAGCAAGAAAGAAAAAAAAAAAGCCAGTTGGAGTTGTGATTGTACTATGTTTTGGTTTTGTAAATGATTTCAGATTAATGTTTTATAAGTATTCTTTGGAAAGCCGAATGCTAGCGTTCAGATTTGTTAAGAGCAAACTATGTAGTTAAATTTGTCTGTACTGTAATTCGACGCCTAACGTACAAATTTACTACAGGAATTGAAGATTTTCAGCTGTAAGGTCTTTAGAATTGATATTGAAGGAATTCGTAAGATGTCAATAGTAGAATGTTCAATAAGTAAAGCATTTTTTCACTGTATAGAAGCAAATTGTTGCGTATTCACAGAAGTCTTCTGTATTGAATCTACATAAGAATTACTTGTTGAGAAGTTGAGTAGTAATGGTTGTATTTTTTTTATGTAGATTGGTTTTTTTTCTTGCATTGAGTTTGGATCTTTCAAGCACGCACGCGCGTCAGACTGTGAGTGAGACCAGAACGGCGAGCCAGGACCACGTGTTGAAAGCCGTCTGCCCTGCGTGTTGTTCCTTCACGGACAGGGACAGAACAGGAGAAACAGATAAGCTTTTCTTTACGAACTGATTGAGATTCATCCCCAAGAAAAGAAAAGAAGCGGCATACACGCATATTCACATAAAAGCTGCATAGCAGTCTTGAGCTTCAGATTTTAATTCAGAGACAGTGACCCTGAAGAGCTCTTAAGTGGGCCCATTTTCTTATTTTTTTTGTTTGTGTAACTATTTGTTTCCTTGTTTTGTATATGCCTGTTGAGCTAACAATATATTCATTTTTGTTATTTTCTTCCAAGCCTTTGTCGCATCTCATTCTTTCCATTCTCCTCGTTTCGAACCTAGCAAACATGACCCAAGTGGATTTCTCCATACCAGTGAGAGGGTTACATGTTGTAGAGTGGAATTTTAATAGATTGTTAAATCTATTTATCTAGGTTAAATTTATCAGAATTATTCAGCTAAAATGAATACTTGAAGATTTTGCTTTGATGCATTTTAAAGATGATTGATTGCAAGCAATGTGTGGCATTTCAGTCAGTTTGGTAATTGCTGATTTTAGTTGGTAGAAAGCAGAGCAATCTGATGATTTATTAGTGTGCTACACTCTAAAGTAAAGGTCGAGTTTTTTTTTAATACTGAAATTTCTTGATCGAAATAGTGATTACAAAGAGATGATAAGTCTTAGAGGATAAAAAAAATAAAAACCAAATGATTGACTGCATACATATAATTATTTTTATTTGTCTGTTTATTTCTCTGTTGTAGCAGTGATTGTCCAACGATTGAAGACATTATCAGAGAGCTTAATCAACAACTCAACCCTAATGAAGTGGTTCGATTTAATATAATCAGAAGGAACGTGTGGGATGGGGCCACAAGAGCAATGGCAAGACCTAACTTTTCCCCTGCCAAGACAGTGGATGTTAAGTTCACAGATGACCATGGTATTTCTGAGGGAGCCGTAGATAATGGTGGACCCACTAGAGAATTTTTCAGATTATGTCTTCAAGAAGTAAAAGACTCTTGTGGAATGTTTGAGGGACCACCAAACATGAAGTTATTGTCATGCAATTCCAAAGGTAAATTAATTCAACGTTTAAATGAAAATTTCTAAATATTGCATGTTCTTATCTATTGTATTGCTGTAGACCAATTTTCATTTTTTTTTTATGTTCTTATATTATAGCTACAAGATCCAATTGGTACTTTCTGGCAGGTCAGCTGATGGCCATGTCAATTGTACATGGAGGTCAAAGTCCTGCTTTCCTATCTCCTGTACTTTTTAATGCACTGGTCATGGGTCCTGATAAGGTCAAGGTTACCATCTCGGACGTGCCTGATGTTGAAACGAGTCAGAAGTTGCAATTGGTATGTCTTTTTATGTACATTCTTTGCAAATACCTTTTGTATTAAGTACAGTACTGCACAAAAATTAGAGACCTTCTTTATTTTTTTATTTATTTATTTTTTTTATTATTTATTTATTTTTTTTTAACTGTAAAAATGACCATTAAGTAATGGCTATTAATTGTTCAGTGTCATGGGAAAAACCAGGAATACCTCAAGTTCAGTCCTAGAAATTGTTTACATCTTCTGCTTCTCATGAACCAAGTAATCCCAAACACATTGAATTATGTTGAGGTCTGGACTCGAGGTCGGTCCAGTGTTTTGAGAACACTAGCAGCTTTGTTTGATAAGTACGTCTTGATCTTAGCAGTGGCCTTTGGGACGTCATTTTGCAGCTCCAGATAAATGTTGCATGTTCCTGAACATGCACTTATTCTCCACCATGCTTGACTGATATTTGTAGGGATGATTCCAAGAATCTTTCATTGCTTTGATGGCATGCATGCTGCCTTCTTTTACCTTCTTATTAAAGATCTCCAATTTAGACTCATCAGTCCATAAAACCTTCCTCCGCGTCTCAGATTTCTGTCTAAATACTCTTCTTTTTATCTATTTCCGTTTTCTCAATGAGGCTTCTTGACAGCTACACATCCTTTCAGACCCATAGCACTGAGACGTCTTCTCACAGTGGAAGGATGGACAGAAACACCTGTGGATGTTTTCAGATCTGAAGCAGCTTGATTTTCTCCCTTCTCTCAAAGATGAAAGCTTTAAGTGATGGGGGCAGTTTTGGCTTTGGTCTACACCAAAGATGGTTCTTCAAGGGTTCTTTAGTAAAATAAATTGTTTTGTATAGAACCATGAAGACCCAGTGAATCCTTTGCATCGTTAAAGGGTTCTTTGTATCATGAAAGTGTTCTTCAGATTGAGGGAGAATATGTGGGTATGGTTCTATAGAGCAAAAAGGGTTCTATTGTTTAACAAATTGATGGAGAAAGTGCTGTTGATGTTTCTGTGTAGAACCTTTTTGAAAAGGATTCTATAACGCACCAAAAAGGATTATTCTGTTGTTACGATGTCAAGCTTGTAACAATAGAAGAACTCTTTTTGGTGCTATATAGAACCATATACAACACATTTCACGATGCAGAGAACCCTTTAAAATGATTCAAAGGATTCTCTATGTTCATGGTTCTATTTAGAACCATTTTATTTACTGAAGAACCATCTTTTTAAAGTGTGTCCTAGGTCTTGGAAGTGGTTGGTAGGAGTCCCATTTTCTTTGGAGCTTTTAATAATTTTTGAATTCCAGTTTTAGAGGCTCCTGCTTTTTCACTTATTTTGCTTTGACTTTCTGGAAGAGTTAAAGTGGTAGAAGATTGAACAAATTAAATACTGCTGAAATGTTTAGTTGTTAAGGCTTCTGTGTATTTTTCTATTAAATTTATATCATGCTTTTTTCCTGACACTGAAAAATGGAAGAATGAATAATTTGTACTTAACGGCCATTTTGACTGAAAATTAAATTAATGAAAGAGTGGCGCTGTACTGTATGGGGTACATGTAACTACAATAACTACTGTTATTGGGGTTTTAGATCAAAGATGCAAAGACAGACAAGGAGTTGCAGGAAGCTGTGTTTGCAGCATCATGTCTAATAAGTCTTGCAGGATGCAGCCGCAAGATAACGCTGACAAACAAAGAAGAGGTGTGCACAGAACTGGCAGAATGGTATGTGCTACAGAGAACAAGGGCACCATTTGAAAGGTATGGATTTTTTCAATTTAACTGACAGTTAAGGATACAGACATTATTTACAACATGCTTTCCTAGACATGATATCATGATCAGTGAAAAAACAATGGTATGTTTCTATAAGAAAAAATCAATTGATTTTGCAATATAATCCTGTTTATTACTGCGTACAAGATCAAGTTAAATATTTTATTTATGTTATTAGTGTGTTATTTTTCTTATGAAACGGTGGGTTGGTAATGCAATTGATAGTTCAGGCCTACATTTTTTAAAAAGTAATCCTATGAAAATATAGTCTTTTGTTTCGTTTTGGCATTAATTTTAGGTTCCGTGATGGTCTTCAAAGCTTGGGTGTCTTGGATGCACTTCAGAAATACCCAGAAAGGTTTCAAGAAGTATTCATGAAAACAGCCATTCCACTGACAGCTACAGCTGTTGAGGTTCTCTTCAAGTGCAAGATGGCTGAGCGAGGCAGCAACAGGTTTGATGCGCAGTGTCGTACCTTGGGTTATTGGCGAGACTACCTCCAAGATGCAGAGGGTAAGAGCTTCTCTAAATATTGTTGACCTCTGTGAGCAACAACTGTATTTTCTGTGACTTAAAACATTTTATGTATATTTTAGTTGACCTAGAGGCAGTCACCTTGGAAGAAATCCTCATCTTCTCAACTGGTTGTGACTCCATTCCTCCTCTGGGCTTTTCCCCTCTACCTTCTCTGGAGTTTGAGGAATGCTCTGCATATCCAACAGCCAATACATGTGACAACATCCTCAGGGTACCCATTAAAACTACATATGAAGATTTTAAATTAGCCATGGATTTTGGCATTCGCAATGCGGCAGGGTTTGGAAAAGCATAAATAAGATTTGTGGAAAAGCATAAATAAGATTTGTGACCTCCAGCACAAGAGGTCTAGATTTTCAGTTATGTATTCTGTTGAATTGGACCTTCTATTTTAGTTTTTCTTAAATTGAAAAGGCTTTGAAGAACTTAAAATTGTTTAGTGATTTCTATGTTCAGAGCAAACTTATAAAAACAAGCAAAACAAAAAGCAAATGTTGGACTGTACTATCATAAGAATTTACAAGTAAATGCGTCTGAAGCATTTTTCATTTTACACTGGATTATTCATATGCTGTATGTTTTAGTTTTTGAGGATTGTTTGATTTATTTCTGGTTTTATTAGTACATATAGATACATTCTGAATTTCTAAATTAATGTTAACAGTTGTTTCTCTTTTATTTAATGTAATTTTGAGGCACTGTTTGGTATTATGTCCTGTTTTAGGGTCAATGTCAAGTTGTGGGAAAATGTAGTTTAAGAATTGCTAAAAGCAATTAAAGTACTGTTGAATGTGTTAATGGCATGTTCAAATAAAAATGTTTCATAGTATTGACATTTTGCTGTTCTTTAACTCATCGTTATGTCTAATTGTTAATATTTGAAGATTGACCTCATTTATTTGATTAGTTATTTGTGTAAATGTGTTATTGGTGAAGAATCAGTGGCCTTAACTGGGAAATCTGGCAAGGCTTGTCACAATTTATGAAAAATTAAGCAATAATTAATTGCCACAAACGGAATTGAGGCTCACGATTTCTTTAACATCAAATAAACATTACTCACTGCCACCCTCTTAAGGAGTTATTAACAAATATCAAAAACAAATGTTACTAGTGCTGCCCTTTAAAGGCTTTATTAACAAACAACAAATAAACAAATATTACTTTTGCCACCCTTTAAAGGAGTTAACATCAAATAAACAAACATTACTCAGTGCTGCTAAAGGCTGTTTTCTTTTATGTACATTAATTTGCCTGGTTGTAATGAAAAGCATTACTGTGAAAACTAATGTGGAAAATAATTTTAATAATTAAAATAATTGAGCTCAAGTAATTCTGATCAGACAAATTGGGCTGATTGGCCTTAATTTATCCTGTTGTTCAAATTACAAAGCATGCTGTACAGAAAGAGACAAATAATGCTTTTTAACATGTACTTTGGCATTATGGCTCAAGGCTCTCCAGAAAGTTAGACGCTGCCAGAAAATGTTCAATCCCGTGATTTCCGTCGTCTGTCAAGGGATTGATGTGCATTTGTCTGATTGGCTGTGCAGGGTTGGGGGGAGGTAGAGGCCTTGGAATCTGTCCCATGCCTGTGGCCCACAGCTGTAGTGGTGTCAGTCCTGCTGCAGTTCGTAGATTATGATTGTTCCACTGCAGAACAAATTCATCTAGCGCCCTGTTTATCCTTGGCAGAAAGATGTATTGCAGAGCTCTTATATGGATGTGATTATTCTCATCTAAAATTCCCATGCTCTCCATAAAGAGGAAAATGTCTTTGAAATAAGATGAGACCACCCTATTCACTTCCGCCCAGAGCCTTTCAATGCGTTGGTTATGAACACTAGGTCCGACCATGAAGCTTCCTCTATTCAACCCACGGTTTGTGATCATAAAGTGTGCAATTTCCATGTTCTCGCTTCCAGCATCTCCTCGGACTCTGCTGGGAAGTCCAAACTGTAGTGTAGCATCTCTGAAAAGTCCAAGGGCTGTGGACGCTCTGTTGTTGGTGCAGCATTTTAGGTAAGTTATGCACCTGCTGAAGCCATCTATACAGCCGTGAAACACGAAGCCCCATGCATTTAATTTATGGTTGGTGTCAACATGCCTGCAATTAAAGAGCTGCCGTTAGGTAACAGTTTGCCTTTATAGTGACAGTCTTCAAGTAGAATTGATTATTTTATAGCTGAAGTAACCCATTACTGTTTATACTGGAATTTTTACTTTTTCTTTACAGCAGTTCTTGGAGCTTCACTGAGCAAAAATCTGAAAACAATAAGAACTGGTTAATCAGTTAATCGCCTAATTTTCTTAGTGTTATGAGGCCATTTTGATAATTTCTAAACATTTATATACAGAAATACAAAAGAAACGTCTACTTTGTACCTTGACTTACTGGCCACTTTATAAGGCACGTCTATTTTACAGGCCCACTAAATAGGTGTACAGTTTATATTTGGGTGGCAGATCATTCTCACCAGAGCATGGAAGTAGCTGCTTGTTAGAGTGTTTGGTGCTGGTATGACTGTATCAAGCATAGCAGTGTTGCAAGATCATTTGGCTTAGGGCTTAGAGTGCTTTACCACACAAAATATCCGGTGACTTTATGGTCAGAAACTGACTACTAATGAAGGTCTATGGGATGGCTAACAAGGGGGCTGCTAAACTGTGCAGCAACAGATGGACTACAGTCTGTAACTGTACATCTACAGAGTTAGAGCTATAAGGTGTTCAGAAAGTTGCCATTTAGAGAAAGTATAATAGAGTGGCCAGTGTGTGTAAGTACAAGATAGGTGTTTCTAATAAAGTGGCCAGTTGGTGGTAGGGTGTTTTTAATAAAGTGGCCAGTTAAAGGACATACAGGATAGGTGTTTCTAATAAAGTGGCCAGTCAGTGGAAAGTACAAGGTAGACTTTTTGTATTTCTGTAGATAAATATTTATAAATATTTAAAAGTGCCTCATATGACACCAAACTGCCATTCATTGAGAAAGGGGGAAGTGTGTGTATATTGTGTTTGTGTGCATTGGGAATGTATGAAATAAACAAAGAATAAAGTATATAAACAATGCCCAGATTGAGTATTTAAGCTTGTGTGTGTGTATGTGTGTGAGGATCTAAGTGAAAGAAACAGATAAGGGAAACGCTCAATTGTTCAAATACAGAGTGGCGTCCCTTTGAAAAATATAGAATTATCCTATACAGCACACACTATTTGTGTGTTGTGTTTGCGTGTGTGTAAAGTAGTCATTAAAATGTTGATGGTGACTTGTTGAGATATTGGTCTATTTTATGAATTTATGAACCATTTTGGTTCAAAACCTAAAGAAGTACAATAGGAAAATGTCTCTACAAAAACATGAAATAAAAAAAATTCTTCCGGTCAGAGAGCATGTCAAATTACAATAATATGAGTAATTTGTGGATATGTTATTGTAAATATATAATCTTATATATGACATATTATTATAAATTGTGGAGATATTATTTTCTGAGGTTACATTTGAATTTTTTTTATGTTTTCCAAAATTCGAACTGATCAATATTATATAGATATCTAATATTATGAAAATTATGGACTGTTTTTTTTTAAAAAATGCAAATATTGGTTGGATAGGCAAAGGGCACAAAGGTGCCTGACACCAAATTTGAGATAAATTTGTTGAATAATTTCCTCATTGTACTTTTTGTTAACACCTGTAAGAAAATATTATTGTAAATATATATGATGTTTGTAATTCTGAATAAAATGCAAGGTCCAGAATGCTTTGCATTTTTTCTCATTTCTGCCTCTTACATGGAAAGTAAGATAAAAGAAACTGCATGACTAGACCATTTTTATACACAATCCAGAATATACATACACTAGAATTTACTTACCATAGTTGATTGGGAAGGTGAACGTTGTAGACTCTCCTTCTGATTGCTCGTCTCCTCCTTATTGCTCTCCCCACAGGATCTAAAATTCGTAATCGTTCCCGAATTCTCCACCTTTGTATTCTAATACCTCTACTTCTTAAACTGCCTGTAATATATGTTTCTCCAGCATTTGGTGTCAAGGAAAGCACTTGAAAAATAAGACTGTCCAGATCAGTGTTAGACAGAGTGCTGTGACTGCCATAGTGTAGTAGACCCAGCTGTCTTCTGTGATTAAACAAAGTGCGGACATTCACACAAAGCATCCGTGATATAGCCGTCCAGCTGAATCCTAAATCCCGCAGATTTATAAGTTGAAAACCTGGTATGTGAAAAAAAGAAGAAATAAATAATAGATGTATAAAAATATATATATATATATGTATATATATATATATATGTATCCATTCATTGTATCATTATTAATAATGTATAATTTATTTGAAGGTAGACCTTTCAAAAACAGTATCTACAATAAAACTGAAAACCTTTGGTAGGGTATTTACAAAAGTCAGTTTTGTGAGTAGAGAGAGAGAGAGAGAAAGAATAAGGTAGAGAAGTACTGCTTAGTATACATCTGATATGTGTGTGAATGTGTTGGCGTTGGGGATTAGTAATTTAAATGTTGATATGGATTTGTATACACATTGGTCTATTTTAAGAGATATTATTAGAATGCAGTTAATACAAAATGAACACATTTCAATAAAAATGTAAATTACAAATTACACAACTCTTTTGGACTAAAAACTGAAAACATTGTTTTTTTCTTATTTTTACTAAATCCAAACTTTAGTGGTACAAAGTGTCATAATATCAAATTTAAGCATTTTTTGTCAAACAAAAAAAAAGAAAAAGTCTCTTGGCAGACATGGGTTAGTATGATGCCTACCTTGGTCTTCCAGGGTAAATGGATCCTTGCACACCAACTGCCAGATTGCTTTGTTGAAGTTGATTATTCCTCTCAAAGAATTCAAGTTGGTTGGTCACGTCATTTAGCATGTCTTTAAGAAGTTCACATACATTGCTCAAGAGATACATCACATAAACACAGCTTGCATTTGCAGGAGCAAATTGGTTCAAGGCTATCAAGAACGCCATGATCATCATGACATGATCTTCAAGATATCTTGATCTTTGTTCCAAAATATTCACATCCATAGACTGTTGTCCAGCTCTGATCAGAAAATTATGCAGTTCTGTGAAATACTGCTGAATATCAACAGATGCCATTATGGTAAAAGAGAAGTATAAGCCTAGTTTTAGCAGCAACAGCTACTTTGGAAAGAAAAAGAACAGGAACAGGAAATATGTTTAGCAGGAAAAGGAAATGAGAAAGGTAAACAGTGCCAATTTCATATACACTGAGTTGATAGTTTATTATATACACTTACCTGGTACATACACTCAAGTTACAATAAATACCCAGCAAAGGTCACTTTTCATCACATATCAATACTGATTCCATTTTTCTCAATGTTCATTCCATATATATCAAAGTTCATTGTATATATATCAAAGTTCATTCCATATATATCAATCTTTGTTCTACTGAGATATATTGAATGAATATTGGTATATATGGAATGAACATTGATATATATTGAATGAAAATTTATATATATTGAATGAACATTGATATGTATGGAACGAACATTTTGTGTCCAGCTCAGAGTTAGTGAGAGTGTGTTTGTGTTTGGTGACCATCAGAAGAAAGAGCAGGGCTAGGAGTGACCTACCTCAATTTTCAGTTGCTTTTCAAGTGGCACTGTTTTCCCTTGCTCTCAATAAAAGAGCATTTTTCAAACAGAAGTTATGGCCTCATCTGACTCTTCTTCTGCACCATGTCAAATTATGTATATATTGAAACTCCACCCATCTGTGTCTTCACATCATATATCAGCCACTCTCAGGTCACTCTGTCCACAGGATCAGTGTGTATAGATTGTGGTCACTTTATCAGAATTCCCTTCCTTAAAGCTCCACCTGGAGTTTGTTAATGCCCATTTATTGATGTACAGTTTCTCTTGGCCATCCTCAACCCTTCAACAGTGACTTTCATTCAATATATATCAATGTTCATTCCATATATATCAATGTTCATTGTATATATATCAATGTTCATTCCATATATATCAATGTTCATTCCATATATATCAAAGTTCATTCCATATATATCAATGTTCATTATATATATATATATCAATGTTCATTCCATATATATCAATGTTCAATCAATGTATATATCAAATTTCATTCC